TCGTTAAAAAAAGATAAGTTTGCTTGTCCATTTTAGACATATTTTTAATGAACCGCATAGGGGGCAGTATCACATTTGTGGGTAGGATGTTTTTTGGAGAATGTGAACGTGTGTGGCGTTTTTTGTTGTTGTTGCGTGTGGATGAGTGTGTGTGTTGCTCGTGTGTGTGTGTATTTGTACTCTGCATTGGAGACATGTATTATGTTATGTTTCATGTATGATGGTAATATCTAAGTTCAGTATGTAATTATTATTTGAAAAATTAGTGATTTCATTCCATTATTCTCCTTCTTTGCTCACGGTTTTGTGAATAATTTATTTGTATACAGTAGGCTTGAGGTTGCACCATGTGAGAGAGAGAGAGAGAGAGAGAGGGGGGCGGGAGGATTGGGGAGTCCTGAAAACGACTCTCTGTAATCTTATTTCCTTGAGTGAGTGTAGTCCTGAAAAGGACCGTTGGTAGTCTTGAAAAAGACTGTTGGTTACATCTTTCTTAGCTTAGCTTATCTCCTTCCGCCCATCCTCTCCAACCGGCGCTACAGTTCTCCATAGAACTATAAGCTAAGAAAGATAACCGTCCTTTTCAGGACTTTCCAATCCTCCTCCCTCTCTCACATGGTGCAGCCGCAAGCTATATCTACATCACCATGCAAGCCGCTACTCATATGCAGCATCTAATTTATTTGTGTTATCAAAACGAAATGAAGTTGTATTTGCATGGAATTATTTACATTTTTATGTAATGATTTATTTTGAATAAAATCATCTCATAACAAAATATGGAAAAACTAAAATGTATAGAAAGGATGTGAAAGATCTTTGTTGTGCAATTAATATAAATCTTTCTGCCGTAAAACCAGAAACTTAGAGCCGTGAAACTAGAAACTTTGAGCCGTGAAACTAGAAACTTAGAGCCATGAAACTGGCAAAAACTAAGCGTCTGACATTTTCATAGCAAGAAGTTTGTGCAAATTGCAAATATTCAGTGTTGTGTCAGTTTTCATTCTTGTCTTTTTGAATAATAGTTTGGTGATCCGTTATTTCAATTTATTTTTCCATCTTTAAAAAAGAACAAATATAACGTAGTATCGAGTTATGTATGTTTTGTGTGGGTTCTTTTAAATTACTGACCAATATGTTTCATCTTTGGATTACTCAAGTCAATAATGTCTAATAATTTGAATTGTCTGTAATTATTTTGATGGTAAAACAGCTACATTTTGTTAAAGGTGGGGTTCTGTTTTTGAAACATATTACTTTTTAGATCGTATACATTTCTGATTTTAATGTATGAGTAAATATGTTGCCTCCTTTTTTAATGAGAAAATATGAATGATCTTTCCATATTTCTTTGTGATCCATACAAAATTAGTAACAGTTGAATCATGTACATGTATTTGTCTCCACTTAAAAAAAGTTTGGGGTAGTTCATGAAGTGCACAAAATATTATGGACAGACTGTAATCAATTTATATCAGAAGCCTGCATTTTGTTTGTAGTTTAATTTTTAAAAATCTGATATCAAAGATATCAATCTCTTACTGTCAACAATAATATTAGACTTGTTTTGATCTTACTAATTGTGCATAACTTTTTTCTTCTTTTCTATTGTGTACCTGTTTTGACCTAAACTTACTCAGTGATTTTGCTCTTTCTTGTGAACTCAATTAAAAAACAAAATCATTGAGTAAGGAATCATTATACTATAGACAGTTTAGTTACCTTGGAGTACAAAGTAAATTAATAAGGGTTAAATATTTCAAATTGTGTGCCTGTTTCATAAATTCTTTCAAAAGTAAGACTACATTTTAGATATAGTGAGTTATAGTGTGCAAACATGCACAAACAAAATGACCATTATTATTATCTCACATTCCATTTTTTTAAAAGATGCAATCCTATAGGTGTTATGTGTTATGAACATTAACATTATTTCACCCCTTTTTTTCTTCTCATTCTCCTGACCAGGCAATACAACGAGATTAATATTTGTAGCCTGAAATTATGATATGAAATATGGAAAGATAAGTATGTTAATAAGGATACAAATTGGTGGCTCAAGATTGATAAAAAGTTTAAAGTATTCCATCCACACTTTCTTTTCTTTCTTTTAATGAAATTCATGAATCATATTTGTTCTTACTGTTCAAAACTGGAAATAGGTTTTTTTTTAAATTGCAAGTATTCATGTTTCTTAGATTAACTATTGCATGTAATTTAAAGTATCTAGTTAGTATATACCTTGTTTCATATAAATGCATAGTATTATGAAATATGTTGTTTTTAAACAAAATGTGATGTTATTTTTAATTTGATTGGAAATTGTCATGTAATTCAGCGGAGACTGCGATATGATAATAAAACAAACTGAACTGAACTGATAAATTACATAATTTGCTGTATGTAATGTGGTTTGTTTATGTTATTGGGTGATATCCATGGTGTGTATAATATATTACCAGTCTGCTTGAGCTTTTGAGGAGGGGGGGGGGGGGGGGGGAGTCGGAAAAGGGGGAAGGAGAGATGGAAAAAGAGGAAGGAAGGGAGGGAAGCAGAGACAGAGATTGGAGAGGAGGAAGGAATGACAAAACAAAACGAATGGGATTAGGAAGAAGAGAAAGAGAATTTGAAGAAAAGGGAGAGAAGAAGAGAAAGAGCGGGATTAGGAAGAGGAGTAAGAGTTGGATAAGAAGCAAAGGGGGAAGTAGAGATGGAAAAAGAGGAAGGGAGGGAAGAAGAGAAAGAGGTTGGGGGGATGAAGGGAGGAAAAAACAACGAATGGGATTACTATCATTCTCTCCTATATTTGGTTTCACATATTAATACAATCCCCTTCTCACTTTCTCTTCTTCCCTTCCTTTCTTTTCTTCCAACTCTTAATCTTCTTCCTAATCCCGCTCCTTTTCTTCTTCCATCCCTTTTCTTCAAATTCTTTCTCTTCTTCCTAATCCCGTTCGGTCTCTTTTTCCTCCCTTTCTCCTCTCTATTTTCTTTCTCTGCTTCCCTCCCTTCCTCTTTTTCCATCTATACTTCCCTTATTACAACTCTTGCTCTTTTTATTCTCCCTTTTCTTCAAATTCGAAGAAGAAAAGGAGCGGGATTAGGAAGAAGAGTAAGAGTTGAAAGAAAAGAAAGGAAGGGAAGAAGAGAAAGAGAGAAGGGGATTGTATAATCTGTGAAACCAAATATAGGAGAGAATGATCGATTGGGAGGTGAATAGCACGGCATTGTTTGAATGGTGAGTAAACCCTTTGCATGCCACACAATATTCGTCATGGGACAGATATACACAACGCTTCAAAATTATTGAACTGTTTCCGGTGCAAGATTAATCTTTGTCGGTGTTAAAAAGGTTCACATGGAGCTAATCAAGACAAAAATGTATAATTTTTCAAAGCCACCGTATTGCACAAAGCAATCTTCCTCTTTAATTTCCTTACAATCACTAGTGGCAAACCAGCGACCAAGCAGAGAGGTGAAAAAAGAAACCAAAGTGTTATAGGAGGGAAATCCCCTCTTTAGGGAGTCATTTATCACTTGATTATATTTACTTCATTTAGAGTTGAATCTACTTCAAATTATGATAATCCATTCCAGAGTAGATTATTAGAAAAGTACCATCGATAGCAGATTTCACTATTTTGCTTGCATTTCCATAATTGTATTAAAGGTAAAGACCAGTTATGGTCATGTGATTGCATTGTGAAAGAAACGTTGTGGAATCGATCAGAAAAGGTTGATCATCTAGCATCTAGCATCTGCAAGTCTCTGGAATCATCAAAATGATAAGAAATTTGGCCCATTCTTCGTAAAGTTACAAGCACTATACACAGCAAGATGTATATGGGACTACCCTATATCTCTCACAGACCATGAGAGAAACAAATTTACCAAATATATGAATTAGTAGGCGGTTTCCCGGCAAATTTTTTTATCATCATGTATTAGTCAAAACATATTCTTTCACATGATTGGTAATGAGAGCTTCCATTTCATTTTTTGAAATTAGGGCATTTCCAATACTGGTCTTTACCTTTAAATGAATCCGTTCCAATGGTTGTCTGCCCTAACAACATAGACCAAAGACTTCATGCATAGCTGACCCGGCCCCCCACTCAGTGTTATTTAGGGTACGCATATGCTTGTTCCCTCTTTTTGAAAGCACCCCCTATCTGAGGACTGCCAACATTTCCGAACCCCCCTTTCGCGGGCTTTTCGTGCCTTGGAGACCTCCCTAAATAAAAAAAAAATGCTCAATGTACCCCCCTAAATTCAGAATAATTTCTCAGGAGTCCAAAGAGATTAGAGAAAAAAAGAAAAAACACCCCCTTTTTAAAGAAATCTCTGGGTGAAAAGTCAAAAACTGAAATACAACCCTTTTTTTATAATTCTCGGGCCGGACTCTTTTCGCACGAAAAGTGCCCCTTTACTGGACATTTTGGTAACACGCATGCGGTCCCTCCATTCTCGGAGTTGGGGGGGGGGGGACGGGATAGCTGATCGTCAACGAAACGGAGTTTGTTGTTTGTTGCTACGGCAGGCAGCCAGTGAAAACGAATTTGTTTAATGAAAGTATTGAAATTATGCAAGCATTACTTTAAACAATCAGAACTTTGCTCATTCTTGCTGATTGAGGAGTCACATGAAAAGGCAAAAAATGAACTTTCTTGAAATGTGATTTTCTCTTTAAAATTTAGATACCGTCCGCCAAATCATGACTTTTAGGTACCTTTTCTTCAAATTGTTTTAAATCCCATATGCGTAAAATATGCATCATATGAGTTCCATCAAATGAAAGAGGAGGATCTAAGCTTTGCAAATATTTGTCATTTATTAATTATGATTGTGATTAAGTTATGAAAAAACATCGATAATTCCCGGTTTCGTTTTTTCTGGGACGCACTGTATATCAATAATTTATTGGTGTAAGTAAAAAGTCTACAAACGGCGCCTCATAGTCGCAAGGTGCGCACCCTGCATGCATATATTTTAACGTCTTTGCCTAGTATAATGCATGGCGCGCTGGATGAAATAATTAGGCACGTTGCTGTGTTTTAACGCTAAAATGTGCCGTTTGGTTAAATGACCACATCACTCAATCTGTATCGAGCCATGTATTGAAACAGCAGCGGTGATGTGTTGGGCAGCGAAACAGCATCGTTATATGAAATAGTTTGTGCTCTGACAGCACATCACTTTCATATCGGCTCTGTTCAGGACAGCGTGTCGATATCTCCCAGGCCAGCCGCCCGGCCCTCCCGACGCGACGGTCATGCATCCCTCCTTTACTGCGGCGGCGGTGAGTAAAGATTGAGAAATAGGGATATGCTGCTGTACTTGTTGGGGCTTTCATCGAAAGGGTGCGGTGCGGTGCGGCGCGGTGTGGTGTGCTCAACGCACCCATTCGATAAAAGAGGGGGGCCTTTTCTCGAAAGGGTGCGTTGAGAGCGGAGTTCCGTTTTAACACACCCTTTCGATGAAAGCGGGGGGGCTTTTCTCGAAAGGGTGCGTCGACTAGTCTTTCGCATCAGTCGTTTAAAATGAGGATCTCGGACAGAAGGTAATAGTTGCCAATTTAAGTATATCGAAAATGTATTAAATAAAATGGAATGGTCTTGATTACAGAGTGGTCTCTTTCGTTATTACTATGTTGATGGGGGAGACAGAGAGAAGGAGGGAAAGGGAAGATAAAAGGAAAGAAAGAAGAATAAGAAGAGAAGAGGGAAACGGGGGGGGGGGGGCGAAGGACTCTTGCCCCCCCCCCCGCCAAAAAATAAATCAGAGAGAGAGAGAGAAGGGAAAGGGAAAGGGAAAGGAGGGGGGGGGGGCGAAGGACTCTTGCCCCCCCCCCCCCCCGCCAAAAAATAAATCAGAGAGAGAGAGAGAAGGGAAAGGGAAAGGGAAAGAGAAGATAAAAGGAAAGAAAGAAGAGGAAGAAGAAGAAAAGAGGGAAACGGGGGCAAAGGGCTTTTGCCTCCTCCCCCCCCCCCCCCCCCGCCAACAAATAGTAGAGAGAGAGAGAGAGAGAGAGAGAGAAGGGAAAGGGAAAGAGAAAGAAAATATAAAAGGAAAGAAAGAAGAAGAAGAAGGAAAGAGGGAAACGGGGGAAGGGCGAAAGGGAGAGAGAGAGAGAGAGAGAGAGAAGGGAAAGGGAAATGGAAAGAGAATATAAAAGGAAAGAAAGAAGAGGAAGAAGAATATGTTTGGTACATAAATCACAAAAATGAGCGATTTTAGGGCTGACATGCAAAAACAAAAGGTCACGTGACTCCGCAATTATACGTCCGATTTTCAACAAAAAAATGTTTCAAAAGATGCGTAAGATTCGAAAGAAAAAAGTCATGAAAGAAAAACTTTATATCTGCCGCGGTTCCGGGGTAGTCGCGAAATTACTAGAGAGCACTAATCTTTTTTGGGGCCCTCAAAAATTTGAAAAATCGTACCCCCCCCCCCCCCTTGAACGCCAGAGGGGGGGTATCTCCCCAAAACGGTAAAAATTAACGTGCTTTTTTTACACGTTATTTTCACAGGGCGGAGCCCTCAGAATCTCAGGGGTATTAATCATCAAATTTAACGTCGGATGAGCATAATTTTATACCTTATTTGTGACAGTGGCAGGACACAATTTGGTGTTGGGTCCAGGGGGCGGAGCCCCCAGAAGCTCAGGAGTTTTGTCCATCAAATTATTATTATTTTATACCTTATTTGTGACACAGGGGTCACGAATTGGCGTGGGGTCCAGGGGGTGGAGCACCCGGAAGCTCAGGGGTTTTGGGCAATAAATAACGGTCAGATGAGCATATTTTCATATCTATTTGTGACACTGGCAGGACACAAATTGGTGTTGGATCCAAGGGGCGGAGCCCCAAGAAGGTGAGGGGTTTTATACATCAAATTATCGTCAGATGAGCATATTTATATATCTATTTGTGACACTGGCAGAACACAAATTCTTCTTCCTCTTCCTCTTCTTTCTTTCCTTTTATCTTCTCTTTCCCTCTCCTTCTCCAACATAAGATGCAAGACGGATATATATCGACTCACCTTCTTTCCAAGAACCATACGGGCCTGGAATTTACTTCCCCCCCCCCCCCAGCATCTTTGCCTGCGACGCAGTCGAAACCTTCAAAGCCAGACTCTGGGAAGCCATGTCCAAGGGGGTAATAATCATAGTCCCTCCCCACAACTGCAATGTGATGGGACTTAATTCTAAAATGTTCTAGAAGCAACAAACACTCTCTCTCGAACGATAACGTTCTTATTGGTCTTCTTTATATCCCTCTTGAGGATCAGGACCAGGATCAGAACAGATTCTCTCTCTCTCTCTCTTATTTATTTTTTGGCGGGGGGGGGGGGAGGGAGGAGGCAAGAGCCCTTCGCCCCTGTTTCCCTCTTTTCTTATTCTTTTTCCTCTTCTTTCTTTTCTTTTATATTTTCTTTCCTTTTCCCTTCACTCTCTCTCTCTCTCTCTTATTTATTTTGTTGGCGGGGGGGGGGGGGGCAAGAGCCCTTCGCCCTTCCCCCGTTTCCCTCTTTCCTTCTTATTCCTCTTCTTTCTTTCCTTTTATCTTCTCTTTCCCTTTCCCTTTTCTCTCTCTCTTATTTATTTTGTTGGCAAGAGCCCTTCGCCCCCTTTCCCTCTTTTCTTATTCCTTTTCCTCTTCTTTCTTTCCTTTTAGATTTTCTTTCCCTCTCCCTTCTCTCTCTCTCTCTCTCTTATTAATTTTTTTGGCGGGAAGGGGGGGGGGGGAGGTAAGAACCTTTCGCCCTTCCCCGTATCCATCTTTCCTTCTTCTTCTTCTTTCTTTCCTTTTATATTTTCTTTTCCTTTCCCTTCTCTCTCTCTCTCTCTCTCTCTCCTATTTATTTGTTGGCGGGGGGGGGGGGGGAGGGAGGAGGCAAGAGCCTTTTGCCCTTCCCCCATTTCCCTCTTTCCTTCTTCTTCTTCTTTCTTTCCTTTTATATTTTCTTTCCCTTTCCCTTTCCCTTCTCTCTATCTCTATCTCTCTCTCCTATTTATTTGTTGGCGGGGGGGGGGGGGGGAGGAGGCAAAAGCCCTTTGCCCACGTTTCCCTCTTTTCTTCTTCTTCCTCTTCTTTCTTTCCTTTTATCTTCTCTTTTCCTTTCCCTTTCCCTTCTCTCTCTCTCCTATTTATTTGTTGGCGGGGGGGGGGGGGGGAGGAGGCAAAAGCCCTTTGCCCACGTTTCCCTCTTTTCTTCTTCTTCCTCTTCTTTCTTTCCTTTTATCTTCTCTTTCCCTTTCCCTTTCCCTTCTCTCTCTCTCTCTGATTTATTTTTTGGCGGGGGGAGGGGGGCAAGAGTCCTTCGCCCCCCGTTTCCCTCTTCTCTTCTTATTCTTCTTTCTTTCCTTTTATCTTCCCTTTCCCTCCTTCTCTCTGTCTCCCCCATCAACATAGTAATAACGAAAGAGACCACTCTGTAATCAAGACCATTCCATTTTATTTAATACATTTTCGATATACTTAAATTGGCAACTATTACCTTCTGTCCGAGATCCTCATTTTAAACGACTGATGCGAAAGACTAGTCGACGCACCCTTTCGAGAAAAGCCCCCCCGCTTTCATCGAAAGGGTGTGTTAAAACGGAACTCCGCTCTCAACGCACCCTTTCGAGAAAAGGCCCCCCTCTTTTATCGAATGGGTGCGTTGAGCACACCACACCGCGCCGCGCCGCACCGCACCCTTTCGATGAAAGCCACTTGTTGGTGTGTGCCTGTACGTACATGCTGGTGTGCTTTGATGTTGATTCAATTCAGCCCCTTTCATCGTGGTGATACTGATAAGTACAATTAAGCCCTCCCCCCCTGCAAAAAAAAAAAACAGAGAGAGAGAGAGCGAGAGAGAGAAGGAAAAGAAGGGAAAGGGAAAGAGGAAAGAAAGAAGAAAAGAGAAGGGGGGGGGGGCAAAAGGGCCTTGCCTCCTAGCTGTTACCTCCCCCCCCCCCCCCCCCCCCTCCCATCAAAAAATAAAAGAGAGGAAGGAAACGAAAGAAAAAAGGAAAAAAGAGGAAAAACAAAAGAAAAGAAGGAGTGTCCCTGAATTTAAAAAAATAAATTTCCCGCCACCAAGTTTTAGTTCGAGGGGGGGGGGGGGGGGGAAGAAAGGGAAAGAGAAAGAGGAGAGCTAAAAGGGAACACAAAAGAGGAAGAATGAAAGAAAAGGGTGAAAAGAAAGGGAAAATAGTTCTTCTTCTTCAAGATAATCTGCCTCCTTCAATACTGAAGATTCTTGCAGATGCCGTAAACTCGGCCTGATTGGGGTGTGCAGGTGGACCATTACCTTGGGGTTTTCCCCTACTCTTATACGAATAGTGCAATGGGTTCTTAGTTGCGATTAATCCCGCCAACAATGTGTGGATGAGGGGGGGGGGCGAAAGGCCCTTGCCTCTACCCCAGCAAACCTAAAACAGAGAGGAGGAAGGGGAGGGAAAGGAAAAAAAGGAGAGGAAGAAAAAAGGTAGGGAAAATCAGATCAGTTCATTGAAAAAATTACACGGGCGCTCGGGTGTATAAGCCCCCGAAATGCAAAAAAGAGCCCCAAAAGTCATAAAAGAGCCCAAAAAAATTTTGCAAAACAAATTAAAGAGTGTTATTTTCATGCCAGCAAGCTTGAAAAGTAGCCCCCCCAATTTTTTCCCTGGATCAGATTTTTCCCGCCAACAAGGTGTAGATCAGGGGGCAACTGGCGTACACGATGGTTATTTCTACCTGTGATTTACACATTTTGCGGAAATTACATAATTTTGTATGTTTTTATAGGAAAATGGCAAATTCCTAAAGAAAGAATAGTGTCCTGCCAGTGTCACGAATAAGGTATCAAAATATGTTCATCTGACCGTAATTAAATGCCTAAAACCGCCCCCTCTACCCCACCAGGGCCCCTAAGGCGGGCCCCTGCATGCTTGTCTGACTGTTATACAATTCCTAAAACCTCTGAGCTTCTGGGGGCTCCACCCCTTGACCCCCGCCGGGGCTTCCTGCTACCTGCTCTACCTGGATGCTCTGCCCCATACACCCCACGCCAATTTGTGTCCTGCCAGTGTCACAAATAAGGTATCAAAATATGTTCATCTGACCGTAATTAAATGCCTAAAACCGCCCCCTCTACCCCACCAGGGCCCTTAAGGCGGGCCCTTGCATGCTTGTCTGACCGTTATACAATTCCTAAAACCTCTGAGCTTCTGGGGGCTCTGCCCCCTGGACCCCGTGCCAATTAGCGAACTGCCAGTGTCACAAATTAGGTATCATTATGCTCATCTGATCGTCATTAAATGTATAAAACCCCTGAGCTTCTGGGGGCTCTGCCCCCTTGACCCCACACCTATTTGTGTCCTGCCAGTGTCACAAATAAGGTATCAAAATAAGCTCATCTGACCGTAATTAAATGCCTATACCCCCTGAGCTTCTGGGGGCTCCACCCCTTGACCCCCACCGGGGCTTTGCCCCTAGACCCCACGCCAATTTACGTTACGCTCTACCAGATCATAAATACCAGCTCCCCCCCCCCCCCTACTAAGAGAAACATTCAGCGGGGTCTGCATTTAAGAGTGGGGTAATGCGGATTTTGTTTGTCTACCCCCCCCCCCAATTGTTTTTTGCTCATTTCGCCACTGCCAGTGTCGTCATAACGTACCAATATTTGGCTCCCATGATTTCAAATTTGGGCCCCCCCCTAAGAATTCCTGGATCCGCACCTGCAATTAGGTATAGTAGGCCTTCTACTACTAGAAATTTAAAAATTGGCAGGCTGTGTATTTAATAAAAAGAAAACAAAACTATAATTTTAGTTGGACGTATCATACTCATACTAGGTCTAGATCTAGTCGAGATAGGGAAATGTGAGTGCTGAAGGGTGGAATGGGGAAGCCTTTCGACCTTCCCCTCCCCCCGGCCCTTTGGCTATGCCAATCACATTTACTTAATCTCTCTCGACTGTGATACGCCAGTCTGAAACTATATTTGTCTCTCATTTTTGTCGCCGCTTTTCTGGTGGCGGCGACGGTGGCGGCGTCAACATCAAAAACTTAACCTAGACCTATAAGGTTAAGTTTTTGAATTGTTAGTATAATTTGAAAGTATAAGTTCTTATTCAATGAAAGTTGGACTGAAGGGTTATCAAGTATCCCCCAATCATGTGAGTTGAATTTCAGGTTACAAAGTCAAGGTTAAAGGTCATTTCAGTTTTCAGGTCAACAAATTTAGACTATCACTATGTTGTGGCATCAACATCAAAACTTAACCAAAGGTTAAGATTTTGAATTTTTATCATTAATTTTATAAGTGTACATTTCTATTCCATGAAAATGAACATACACGTAAGGGTTATTATGTATCATCAAGCAGGTGATTGGTCTTTTAGGTGACAAAGTCAAGGTCAAATGTCATTTCAGGTCTGCAATCTTTGGCATCAACATCAAGATTTTGAATTTTAAGGATAATTTCAAAAGTGTATGTTCAAATTCCATGAATCTTGTACACAAGGGTCATCAAGTATCACAAATCATATGACAAAAATTCAAAGTCACAAAGTCAAGGTCAAATGTCATTTTAAGTCAGTAGACTTGGATTATGTTTTCACAGAATTAATAAATCAATTTTTGTTATTTGTTCATATTTCATGAAAATTATCAATTTTGGTACAAATAATAGTAAATAATTCTTCTTATGATTCTTAGTCAATATTCACTTCAAAATGCTGATTATATTCAGAGGATTTCATTTTGGGGGGCCTGCTAATGGGCTACCCTGCCTATAAATAATCTCTCAACCTTAAGTTTTCATCATATCGAATTGCGTAATGCAGACGAGACCGCCAAGAGCGTTTTCCTTCTTTAATAAAGATCCCCCACCAACATAATAACGAATAACGCCACTCTGTAATCAAAGACCATTCCATTTTATTTAGTACATTTTCAATATACTTAAATAAGCAACTATTATCTTCTGACTCAGATCCTCATTATAGTAGATAACTTCACGCAGGCACAAGCGCCTTCCCGTAACCGCCTTCCCGCAACCCACCATCCCGCAACCCACCATCGTAAAAGTGTTGAAAAATGCCAGAAAATATCTTGTTACTGTGATAATTTGTCAACACTGATTTTCCTGCTTGTTAGTGTAATCAACAGTGTAATGTAAATTGGAACATTGATAAAATCTTTCCATCACCCACAGAGCAAAGTGACGAACCTACAAGGCTCAGACAAGATGAGAAACCTTTTGGACCTCACGACTCTCTGCCATACCTATGAGGACACAGGAGGAAATTGTTTGGTTCAAGAAAGGCATGGTGCTGGCTGAGCTGTGACTCGATCATGATGTGGAGATGGAGTTGTCTGGTGTTTCTCATTACAGATCCACAGGTACAGTATGTCTAAAGATCTTTTGATGTAGTGATTCTTCTCACCCAATTTATTATCATATATGTTTGTGATATATGTATTCTTAGATGCACTAGAACTGTATGATTAATCGCCTTACCGGATGAGGTTGCAAATTCATTCCATTTTACTTCGAGTGAAAGTTTTGGAGTTAACACAAGTTGTTAGGTGTCCAATGATATTCATGCTGCCAGGGGATGCCCCAAATACAGTCAGCAACCACCAGGTTGGTAACCATAGACGTGCTGAAGAACAATCATAAATATATTAATCAAATTTGTTCATGGATCTAACTCAATGCATTTTACCTTGTCCTTCCACAGATTCTGTATTGCAGAAGTTCAAAGACAGCACTTACTCCTGGGCATGCCTGCATTGTTCCGAGTCCAAGATCTGCTGCTGGCCTATACAATACAACAGCTCTCTGATCTCTAGTACACTCTCCTCATAATCCTTGTCATGCACGTACCTTTGTTGTAAGTTTTTGATCAATATTTTAGAGCACAACCTTAGTGATTAATATTTGTTTTTCTTTCAAAATACAATAATAAATGGCCATGAGTGGGATACAAGGGAACTAAGGAGAATATTTTAAGAGTTGACGCTATGACTGAAATATTCTCAAAGTATAAAGTGCAATATACCTTTTCTGTTCAAAGAAAGAATATCCATTTGATATTCTGCAAATTTGTTGTAGCCACAAAAAGTAGCTTGACTTAGAAAGAGTTAAAGGGAAGTCCACCCTGATATTAAGTTGGTTTCAATGGAAGCAGAAAAAAATGAGAGAAACCGGTCAGTGAAATTTTCAGCAAAAACTGATTGAAAATGAGAAAGTCATGAATTTTTTAATTTGCGATCAATCCAACGCAAATTTGCAAGTCTGTGACATATTTTACGGATTCCCCTTCCATTATAATCAAATTGGTATCAGGGTGGACTTCCCTTACCTTATCCTTACCCAAATATTGTGCAAGGGTGTATACATGTACATCCCTTGTCTAATAGCATGTGTATACTTCAACTCGCTTTCACCTTTTTACACACTTTACGCTTACCAAACCACAATATATCTTTAAATTACTGCACGGTCATCTGGAGACTCTTCGCAAACCATGCGATATTGAAAAAATAGTATGCATGGTCAACAGAGGTCTTTTAATCAAATCACACGATATATTTATTTAACTGCTTGACTAAAAACCTTTCATTCAAGGTGATATTTTCTCTAAGTCATTTTGAATTCAGTACCATGCTTCTGTAAACTTGGCCTACGAAGTTTTAAATCTTTTGTACATTACTCAACATCTTGAAAGATATGTTTTGCCACAATAGACACAATACAAGAGATATTTGCATAATAAAACAGTTTCATTAATCTTTTGTTGGCTTTGAGTTTGACATTTACCCGTTTTTCCATACGTTCATTTTGCTTTCACAGTACCTACAGTTATCTGGGCATCTTGATTCTGAAGAGCTGCAAACGCAACGTTGCCCCAAAGAGTGAGTTAGCTACATCCACTTAAGGAGCTGAAACTAGACATTTATGCTGCCCTTGGGTACTAGTATTCCATTCCAATATGCACGTCTGAACGTGAAGTTGATCAGTGCTTGAGAAACGGAATGATTCATAGCAGAAACTTACACCCATCACATGATCACATTATTTACAGGAAGAGGGTCACAAGAACTGCTTCACAAACACTTTCATTCTTGAAAAACAGTACATCATCAAAGTTTAGCAAGTAATCTGAACATTTGAACTTTACATTTGGCCGCCAGAGGGGTGCAGGTATTCAAGGGATGCAGAGAACATTGGCAATGGCAGCAGGGCAGAGCATCCAATGTCACACCTCACATCGTTTCCAGAATGAGGATCACAAGTATTCAATGGATGCACAGAACATTGGCAATGGCAGCAGGGCAGAGCATCGATCGTCACTCCTCATATCGCTTCCAGAATGAGGATTCCAATTATTCAGGGAATGCAGAAAACAATGGCAATGCCAGCAGGGCAGAGCATCCAACGTCACACCTCACATCGTTTCCAGAATGAGGATCACAAGTATTCAGTGGATGCACAGAACATTGGCAATGCCAGCAGGGCAGAGCATCGATCGTCACTCCTCATATCGCTTCCAGAATGAGGATTCCAAGTATTCAGGGAATGCAGAAAACAATGGCAATGCCAGCAGGGCAGTGCATCCATCGTCACTCCTCACATCGCTTTCAGAATGAGGATCACAAGTATTCAATGGATGCACAGAACATTGGCAATGGCAGCAGGGCAGAGCATCGATCGTCACTCCTCATATCGCTTTCAGAATGAGGATCACAAGTATTCAATGGATGCACAGAACATTGGCAATGGCAGCAGGGCAGAGCATCGATCGTCACTCTTCACATCGCTTTCAGAATGAGGATCACAAGTATTCAATGGATGCTCAGAACATTTACAATAGGAGCAAGGCAGAGCATCCATCATCCCTCCTAGCATCGTGTCCAGAATGAAGATCACAAGAGAGGTTTGGCTGTCTTATTTGTGTAATGGCCATGACTGATGGTTTCAAAGTTGTGTCGATGAGTGTGTGTCTGCATTTAAAACCATTGCTTTTTTTTGTATGGTGCGACTGCTCGATTTGATTAGAATTTAGTGGTATGATTTCATGTTTTCTGATCTTTCTAGGTAAAAATGGTATGCTTTAATCCATCATTGATAAAAAAATATCTGTATATAGATGTCCCCCCCAAAAAAAAAAATGAGTTTACAAGACAACATGTTGCGTGACCCTATGCTCAATAATGAAAATGATAACTTTTGATTAGAATATATGCTTAAATTGTTAATGATTGTCTATGCATCTAAACATATTTTCTTCAAATATTCAGCCCTCCAAATAATGGCGTATAGTTGTATGCTTCAAACCATGCATTCATATTGGTAGTGAACCGCAAAAGGGTTGTGATGCGATATTTGCTTCTGCAACATTTGTTCTTATTGTTGTGGCCTGTGGTTTGTGTGTTGAACGTCTTTGTATGAAACAGTTTGTTTGTGTATGACCATGTGATATGATCTGATTACTAAATGATTACCAGCTAGCCTTACTCAAAGCCTAGACCTGTTGAATTAGATCTAAATGGACAAGCAAATTTCTACTGTTTTTGAAACCTCGTTGCACAGGATAAAGATATTCTGCAGACATATTACGTGTTTCAGTGCCAAAAAAAGACCATACAATGTGATATTGCAAAATATTTAGCTCTATATTGATATATATTCCATTGATAATTCTTTGGCCATGTGAGTGACTTAGACCATGTTGCTTACATACTTTTTTTGCAGCTAAGAGGCCCTTTATGTCTACTGTCTCTCGGTCCAGCATTGGGTGTGCATTTGGGGATGATTATATGCCCATCCATGCTAATTAGATGTTTTGATGGAGACAAACTTGCTTGTATGCAGATGTATTTTTCAGCAAGTTTGGCTTGTAATGAGAAATCTTTGACGTAATCGCTGTACCATGCCAAAGGATCTGATTCTATATTATATTTATGCACGGGACAGCATGTTGTAGACTGCTCTCCTAGACACGGCGCCTCCTGGACACTGTTTAAGACAGTTCTAGAACTGGCATTCAGGATTTTATTATGAGCCTTCGATCATCTGACTGACAGATGACACTTGTTTTCCACAATTGGAAAAAACCATTGAATCCATCCTTCTAGAAGCGGCATCTTCTTTCTACGTTCCATCAAGAGTTTCTAATGTTACTAATACTTGGCAGATGAAAAGAGATGGACTCACATATCATTTTTCTTAAACAAAGTCATTAATGTTCATATTACTTACAAACAGAACACCAAGAATAACATGCAGAGTTTGTTGATATTACATCTGAATCACGTATTTGAATGGAATGGACTTGTGAATCAACCTTTTCATACATAAATGAAATATTAGAAATTCACTCGTTGAATCATTAAGCTTAAAGTATTTGTTTAACAATATTTCTAGTTTTACAAATGTGAGATGCATGGCCCTACTTGTTATCAGTGTCTGTGATATGGTGTAATATTGCAGCCCTAAAAACATTGCGCTTCAAAATGATCATGAAGCTCCTCAAAAAATAAAAATCTTTGATTGACCGGTTTTAACATACTCATTTTCCCCAATAGACTGTAGTGTAATAAAAACCGTTGGGAAAACGGTTTTTGAAATATCTAATTCCAATCATGAATATCTTGATAATTAGACAGGTGAGTTAAAGTCATGGGATTCTTGACTGACCTAAAGGTTTATAATTATGATTGCAGCATGAGCTAAATCCAGAAATTTGTTTAGAATCTGAGACAAAGATACCCAATCCCTTTAATGATAATAATAATAATAATAATAATAATAATAGTGTTAACTTTTAGAGCACACACACCGTCCAGGGACGCTCATGGCGCTAGCTCAGCAACAGTTCTCTTCAAGACATGTATAAGTAAAGTAAATGTTTATTTGGTAATAGAGTTACTTAGAGTTATTAGAAATTCAAAAACAATTTTGCAACATTTGTATCACCTATTTCAATCCTCAGCTCTGCTCGGTGGGGCCCGGTGCCCTCCAGCTACTCTGTTCACTGATAATTCAAGGGACTAGCCCAGTCAGCACATGATTCACAGGAGCTCTAGCATCTGAGGCCACTAGGCCCCACTCGGGCAGCCAATGAGACTGAAGGGTGATACTAATTAAGTTCAAATGTACAAATAAGATATTAATTATGGATTTGGTGAAATAAAATTATACAACTTAAATAAAATAGAACTACAAGAATCTAAGCGAGATGAGATTAATGCATGAATTAATTGTTCACATGCTTGTTGAGTCAAAGAGTTTTGTATGACCCCAAGGTTATCAGTTGATATCTCACAGACTTTGATATGCTAGATACATGTTTAATAAATTACATATTATTGTCAAATATCACACCAAGGTTAGAACTTTGCCATCTACACGCAAGCCTAAATGATTATGATTTGCTCCCAGTAAAGAATTCTTAGAGCCCAAAATGATAAACTCAGTTTTATTTTCATTTATTTTAAGACCGTTGGAATCCATCCAGCCTTTCATGTCATGAATACAGGCTTCTAAAGGTCTCCTAGCAATGGCAATTGCATCAGAGGAAGGATGTACAGAAATGAACAGCTGAATGTCATCAGCGTAACAATGATACTTTATAAATGCTTTCTAATTATTGTACTGATTGGCTCAAGGTAGACAGAAAACATTTACGAGCCACCAACAGACCCTTGTGGTACACCATATGGGCAATTCCACAATTGGTAACGTTACATTTAAGCAAATTTTCATATTTCATTTTACTACTACATCACCATCTATTCATTTCAAGTCACAATCATGTTACAATATGTTCACCCACCCTAGGTCTATAATATAAAAAAGAATGAATACAATTGAACAAATATTAGAGTCGCCATGGTAACTTTTAATGTTGGTTGGTAACGTTACAAAAAAAGGACATGCGAAAAAAATCAGTGTCTTCAGACCAAAAGTTTCCTAAAACGCGAGATACCTCAAACAAAGTGTCGTATTCATTTCAATTCTAGTGTCATGATAAATATTTCAGCCAATAATTTTAGCAGCTTGACTCTTCAATTTTTTATTAGACCCAAAATTCATGGTTGGTAACGTTACCGGTTGGTAACGTTACAGTTTGTCCATGCAGAAATAAGCGTTGTAAAAAGCAAGTGTTAAACCTACTCCTTCCTTAAAATCAAAAGATACACTTTGCAATTACATATAAATTAACATAGTTATCAATGTAACTGTTATTTATAACTCCAACTCACAATTTGAAACAATCCAAACATATTTACAACACTTTTTATCCAAATGTTACATTCTGAAGTTCACCATTTGTCGTGGGATTATGCATGTCAACATACATAATAACTTGATTTCACAAAGTAACTATTTTATTGAGAGAATTTTAACAGAGTTCATGACATCATGACAGAGACATTGAGCAGATATTCAGTCCATAACACAATAGAATGATAATGTGTTGTTTTGTTCCATAATCCAATGCATGTATTTTATGTACAAATGTACTTGATACCATACAAATCTAAAATTTGAAAAGCCCACGGTTATTAACAACTTCTTTAACGAATGTATTTGCCGTCGATTTAGACCTGTACTCCTTCCTTAAAATCAAAAGATACACTTTGGAATTGCATGTAAATTAACATGGTTATCAATGTAAGTGTTATTTATAACTCTTACCCAGACACAACTTGAAACAATCCAAACATATTTACAACACTTTTTATCCAAATGTTAGATTCTGAAGTTCACCATTTGCCATGGGATTATGCATGTCAACATACATGATAACTTGGTTTCACAAAGTAACTATTTTTGTTGAGATAAGTTTAACAGAGTTCAGAATAAAAATGTGCGGTTGTATTCCATAACCCAATGCATGTATTTGATGTAGGGCCTACTTGATACCATACAAATCTAAAATTTGAAATGCCCACGGTTGTTAACAACTTCTGGAGGAGCCAATTTTGTAATCATCTTGCTCTCCATGTAGAAAATGGCATCCTTTTTTGTAGGCCATTTCCAGTACTTTCCCACTGGCTCCATCACTGACACCTGAAACTCACCCTTGCGTGTGAACCCAACAACTTCACCAGGAAATTTCTTTCCTTCGTACTCGACCACATACCAATCTCCCACTACAATGGCCTTACTACCACTTTGGGTAACCACTACATCATCCTTGTCTGCCCTATTGTCTTTTGTGAGAATGTGGGATACCACTTCATCCTTTACGACCTTCAGGAAATGCATCTTTCCGATGCCAGTGATTGGCTTGGCCTGAATGAAAACATCTTTCAATTTGAGCTTCTCATTCCGCTTAGCAATTTCTGTTGACTTGACCTCTGTGACGCATACATTCTCCATGAAGCTTGCTGCTAGAACAAAGCTGCTTGCATCTGCTACAATGTCTTGGCGGCTCAGAACTCTTTGCATCACAAAGCGCTTGGCTGACCCTCCAATCCCATCAACGGGGCCTTTTCCATGGGAGGTCGAAAAGAAGTTCCACTTGATTTGAATCTTGTGAGCCTCTTGAAGTGTGCAGAGTGCTGCTGCCACAAACCGATTTTTGAATTGCGAAGCTGGGCCATCTGACCAGATAGAAATAGATGTTACCGTATCTGGTAGATATCCTAGCAGCACATCAAGGTAGGCTATGATGGTTTCCTTGGAGTGTGTGAGGTCATCAGATGCCAGGATATGAGAATGTAGAGATCCAGAGTACCAGAGTGCTGCAGTGAAGAGGGATACTTGACGTTGATTCCAATGTGCGCTCTGGACTTCATCTTGAGCAACGCATGTAAAATTTTCAGAGAAATCCACCTGGAGGAGGGCACTGTGGGTGTCATGTGATTCAGGAGAAACTTTTTCCCTCTGAGCATTGTATGCTGATGCTTGCTCACGCTTTACATAGCAGTGCTGCAGGAACTGAGGTAAGATGGCAGTGATGTGCTGTACTAGCTCTCCTACAGTTCCCTCCTCTTGAATCTTCATCATCCGTCCATCTTTATCCGTCTCCCACTGAAGCCATGAGCAAGGGCTGTTAAGGGATCCCTCAAAAGAGAAGGCTTTGCTAAATCCTGCTCCATCTTTGCATTCTGCACATTCATTCATCCAGCACTCTCTTGATGGTTGCTTGCAAAGGAGCAAAGCTGGGAGATCACGGGTGTAAGCAGGGAATTCTGGTTGAGCCTTGTGAAGTGCAGTAAAAGCATTAATGGCATTCTCGTGGTACCTGCAGAGACAGACATTATGTGGCAACTTTTGGCTAAGCAGGACATGCTTTGGGCGACACTCTGCAAACTTGGACTTTCCCACATGTACTTCTGGGTAAATCTCACAAAAGAAGGCATATGTCTCTTTAATTGAAGCAGTGAGGTGTCTAGCCTGCATTTTCTTCTTTCCGTCTGCATTCCAAATAGTCACTACATCCTTTCTGCCTGGGGCCTGGCGACTCACATCATCTCTCTCATAGAAGTCTTCAATGACTTTCACTGTATCTTCACTGACTTTAGGAGGACCCGTCTTCCTTTTCTCTGCTGAAGCTGATGGTAGTTCATGTCCTTGCTTAGCTTCTTTCTCATACAACTTGCGAGAGACAACAATTCGCCGTTTAGGAGTGTCGGGGAGTACTCGATCCATTATCCGATGTGCCCTGGCAGTGGCTTTTGCGAGTGCCATCGCACTTTTGAAGGGCCCATGACTTGCTTCTGCTTCTGCTTCTGCCTTTCTTTCTTTCTTCAATTTCCTGTGCTTTGCTACTCGTTTCTTTGTTGCTTCTTTCGTCTCCCTTTCCAGTTGTTTTCTCGCATATTTTGGCAAGGTCCTCTCTCTCAGCTTTTGCTTCTCCCGGCACCTCTTCATGGCTGCTGCTTTTTTCTTCAAGTATTCTTCATACTTCCCCATCCTCTTCATCTTTTCTATGTAGTGCCTTTGTTTCTCTTTCTTCGTAAACTTGGGCATGATGACCTATATATCAAAAAATAATTATAATTTTTTAAAATATTTTTGTACAAACCAAATCTTTAAAAAAAAAAAATAATCAGGATGAACAAAGATTTCCAGATTCGTAATTGGTATTAGAATCCTTCTATTAGTGCGAATCTGGATAAGTGTTGGAAAGTCACCATACAGAAAAATTGATACAATATAACAATTATGAATAAAATCACTTTTTTTTTCTAATTTACAAGAAATCATATAACTTAAAATTCATGATTTCCCATAATATTTAATGTATCCTTTGGAAATTTGAGTAAAGGTCAATTGCCATGTTTTCTCAAAGTGTTAAACAACTGCATTCGGATTAAGATGAAAGTTTCCACGGCAACAAATTAGCCAATGCACATAAAAACAAATACAAAAAAGTTCATTAACCTTCACTTTTTCATTTGCATCTATTCCATCTAGTTGATGTACATGTACATTTGCATGTACATGTAGTTGATACTAAATATTTTATGTACTATCAATTGCCAATGTTGACTTTAAAAAGTGTAGTGTGAACTGTACATACAATGAAGACTGTAGAAAGTAGCCTAGCCTGATCTTAAAGTATTTCAAGAAACATAAATAAAGATTACAGTTACTACAATTGAAAATAAATAAACTTACCAGATGCTGACACTGGGTGACAGTAGATTGAGATTCAACAAGTTTTGCTAATTAGAACTGCTTTCATGGAGAAAGATTCAAGAAGAGTTTTAATACAGTAAAGATGATTTGACTCTTCCCAAATGTGATGCTGCATGGATTCTACACAGATATGATGCTGCTTAAATGGTTGTCACATGGCTGTCACATGCCTTTAATAAATGTTCTATACTGCCATCTCTTGTCTTAGTTAAAGAATCACTTCACTTTCTTCTGATTAAGGCTTACAAATAAGTATCTCCTGGCACTAATATCATGGTTGGTAACGTTACAATCCTTAAGCCTGGTTGGTAACGTTACATGGTTGGTAACGTTACAGATTTTGACTGCTAATATTTTCTACATCATAGAATATTTGTAATTCTGGTTCCTTTACTTCAATAGAGCATTGTATAGGAAAGGAAAATTTGAAATATGACAATTAATAGCCCCCAGATTTTCTCTCCAGAAAAATAAATTCATGTTTTGGTTGGTAACGTTACATGGCGTATCAAGGGTTTGGAATTTCGTGAACTGTAGACTAAATCACTTTTTAACTTGAATTTTGCTGAATGAAACCATGAGGGCATTGTACTCCCTCAATAAATTCAATAGGTTTGTGAGGATATAGTTACTTTTATGTTGATAATGACTTAAATAACTTTTTTTCCTCTTATATTACAAATTTCACAGGAAAACATGAACAATGTTCATTTGCAATTTTCACTCACTTATACCAAATGTATGGTGTGGAAAATATTTTTTTCAGATACTTTGTGGTGTCTTTAGTCAAATAAAAAAAACAAAAAAAAGAAAATTTGAATTCTAAATTTTTTACTCATGTCCACCTAATCATGGAATTGCCCATATGAAATTATTTACAGAGACATACTTGGTTCTTTTTTAAATGTATGATGAAAACCATTGCAGAGAACTTCTCCCACACCCACTTTTCTGTGCTGTTCATGTCAGTAATGGCATCTCCTCCTAACCCACTTTTCTTGGCGCGTTTCTTCAGCTGCCCCATCATGGTCCTCATGCATATGTACAATATTTTTTTAACAGTCCAAAACTTGTCTTTCAGACAAGGACAATGCATTCAGGATTTCACAAAACAAAACACACATACATGGTTCCTAATTCAAAGTGAGGTCTATGTAACATACAGTGACCTGCAATATAACATTTGAAGGCATCCCAAATTACATTTGGGTTCAAATCTGAATACCTGTGTATTTCTTTAAATTCATTAATTTTATCGTTTATAAAGGTTATGAAATAATTAGAATCATGCCTCAAATAAGAGCAATAACACTTTCAATACCCTTTACCATGAGAGGAGTGATGAAATGAGATCCCTGCACCCACCTGTAGATTGGAGATCTTCCCCTTCTGGGAGTTTAAAAAACACCCAAGTTGTTTCTTCTCGACCTGTTCTCCAGGTCATCAATCTTATCCAGCCTGGTGAATATCCCTTTACACTCCTTCTCCTGGAAGTCGAGATGGCGGTGTAGCTCATGGAACCTTTCTTCTTGTTTACGTTTGTATTGCTGGAACCATACAGGCACAGGCGCCTGGGCTGCACTCTCAAGGCTTGCCCGGGAATCTTCTGGGCACCCATCCACTGACGTGTCGTTGCCGTGGTGTGACTTCTCTGGTGCATGTCACTCAAATTTTTAGCTTTCTTTCAACCTCCAGCAGGATTTTTACTCGGTGACATAAATCTCTTCTCGGCATTGACATAAAAATGAGCAAAATGAACCAGCTGTAAACTGAGTAGACAGGCCTTACTTTGCCGAAATCCATACACAGCACCATCCAGTTATTTGGTACATGCTGCTTCAGGCTGGAGAACTGCGTTGCCTGCCAGCAAGCATTTAGGAGATGTTTGGCGAAGGCTTCCAGCCTTCCTGACAGGGCAGCGACCAGCTCTATCACGGTACCACTTATATCCAAGAGAGCCATCCGTCCCACCTCTTCCTGGATTTGGAAGTCCACTCTCTCCACTTTACTTGTTCAGCTCCATGTATCAAGGGCTTCATCTTGGAGAAGTCATTAACAACAACCTCTGCGACCATCCTAGGATCACAGTAGTGTAAATCCAGTTGTCTCCAAGCTGCTTCATAATCTTGCCCCAATCCCTGAATATTCTGCAGAGGCTTTCCAATCAGATAGGATCTGAGTATCATAAGAGCATCTCTACCTTCATACTGCCAGTGAACCACATGTTGAAAATCAGCTTTAAAAGCGTGATATTCTTGTATGTCTCCACTGAATTTCGGTAGTTTGGGTATCTCCATCTTAAAACAAGACGACTCCGCTCTCATCACCGGTCTCTGAACTTGACTGCTATATGTATCTACAGTCTAGGTATGACCGCTGATGAGATACTTCCACAATTTGAAGAGGATCAGACTTTCTTGTGAACTTTTGAGGCTCACCTCTTTCTTCTTGCAATGTGGCTTGTAGTTTGCAATGGTATGTGCCAGGCTTGTTTATTTGTAGTAAGCAGTGAGCGTCTCTTACCAGTTCCCCAGTACGATACCATTCATAGATCACTCCTTCATTGTTGTGGTGATGAGAAACCACTCCTATCACCAGATGTCCTTCTTGGAAACCCCTGATTTCAGGTGGTTGATGCAGGAGCAAATATGGATCAGCACTTGAATCCTTCTCCATACATGGAAACTCGTACAGGATGTGATCATTTGATGACATTGGATCAACTTGTACAAATGTTTTATTGTCTTTTGATATTTCAGTGACTTTGTAGCCATTGTACCCGAATATCTTGTGCAATTGCCTTATCGATTGGATCCAAGTTGTCTAGTTGCTGTTTGTCAAGCCATGCTCTTGATTTTGCATCCTGCCAGCATTTAATGAAAAGTTGGCTTGGTTCCCCACCACGTCTGGCATTGAACAATGTTAGGCATGCCACTATGCAATCGTGCAGCTTTACAAAATGATGCTTGTCAATGAATACCAGCTCATTTCCTACAAGCTCATCGATTCTGCCTGTCGTGTACTCTCTGAGATGCTTTGGCCCGAATTCACAAAGCAAGGTTTGAGCTCAGACCAAGGTTTGAGCTCAAACCTCCTTTTGTTTCGCCAAACCTCCCTTTGTTATTTACAAACCAGGTTTGTAAATAACAAAAGGAGGTTTGGCGAAACAAAAGGAGGTTTGAGGTCAAATCTTGGTCTGAGCTCAAACCTTGCTTTGTGAATTCGGGCCTATATGTCCGAGTCTAGAGACTGGCCACTGGGCCTTCTCAACTTTTCCTCTCTGTTCCGATGGAGATGGTAGGTAGCATTTCCAAACACATTGTTTTGTTGCAAGTTAAGAACAGCTGTAAATTTGTCTATCTCCTCTGCCTCTGAGTCCTGGTCATCCATGAGAAATGTAGCTTTGAGAACTTTGCTACCTGACTTAAGCAAGTAGAACAACGCTAGCTTCAGGCCAGCCTTGATGCCAACACCATCACTACCCTTTTCACACTCTGTGAACTTCTCAACTGCCTCTTCAAGGTACCTAAAATTTGACCTCTGCATCAAGTCAGTCACATTCTGGGCATATACTGGAAGAGGTCTGAGGTTCCCCTGGGTATCCTTCAAGGCAAGGTAGAGTCCTGCAAGCCGCCGCATATCAGTCATTACAGATTTTCTTACTCCCGCTCTTTTGTCCTTTTTTTTCTGCTTCGACCAAAGTCTCCACCCAATGTCATCAAATACAGTATCTTGCAGACATAACAGCCCAATATCGTCCTTCCTAAATTTGCCAAGCACTTCACTGATGAACTCAGCGTCCGAAATGTCCACCATTTTTAGAAGGGATGCTGGGATGTTCAAACTTGGTTGGCAAATTTCTGATGATTTTTCATATTTGCACTTATGAATATTCATGAAGCTTGAAGCATAAGCCCCAGAACATAATCCACAGATAATAATCTCCTTTTCTTTGGAGGATGCTCTTTCCATCTCATATGCTTCACCATCTCTTGATCTCTGCTTATTGACCTCAAAGGTCTCTTCTTTTTATGCTATCAAATTCTTTTATTCTTTGCTTCTTAGGGAGTTGGCAAAATGGGCAATATGTTCCTTTGTTGTATTTTCTTCAATTTGTATTGTCTGTGCACATAACTGTTTGCTGCTCATCTACAGTTGATGGATCTTGCGTGTTTATCACAGTGACAGAATGCCCTGCATCTCCTGAATCTTATGTAAGGTCAAGATCCTGTTTATCTCCATCTACTGGATCTGGTGCAAAGTAAGGATCACTGTCATCTTCATCTGCTTCAAAGTCAGTATTACTGTCATCATCTACTGGATCTGGTGCAAAGTCAGGATCGTTGTCATCATCATCTCCTGAATCTGATGCAACATCAGGATCCTGTTTATCTCTATCTCCTGAATCTGGCGCAACATCAGTAGTCTGTTTATCTCTATCTCCTGAATCTGGCGCAACATCAGGATCCTGTTTATCTCTATCTCCTGAATCTGGTGCAACATCAGGACTCCTTTTATCTCCATCTCCTGAATCCGGTGCAAATTCAGGATCAGTGTGATTAACATCCAATGGTGTTAAAATGGCTGGTTCATCCTGATCAGTTTCTCATATTTCCTGTCTTTCTTTGGACTGGATTCGAAAGCTGTCTCATCGAACCCACAAACCAAATCTTTTCCAGCGATGCCGTCAAGGCGATCCTACACGCTTGTAAACACATTGCAAGTGTCAAGAATGTTGATATGTTCTCCTTGCCAGGGCATCCATGGTCCAGTGAGATATTTGTCAACAAGACCAGAAGCTCCTAGGATTGGCATCACATTACTGTCTGCTAGGGCATTTTTGACAGCGAGATGTAATCCATTTCTCGGTGCCATAACCTTAGATAATTCTTGTATATGTTCCTGGTAACACTAAGCCGGCATTTACAAAGAAAATGTTAAATCACAGTGAATAACCTACTACTAAAACTCAATATCACTACCAAACAAATCAACTTTAAGAGAAAAATATTCTAGCATTGCATCCCGATGATAATATTCATTCATTATCATAAACCTTCCCATTTTGATATTACATAACCATGATAACATCCTCCTCTTTACTTTAATACTTGCATGTCTCATTGTTACGTTCAAGCTTGATCTATGATTTGAGTGTCTTCTTCAGAGTCATGGTTTCCACCCATCTCCTACTCCAACACAGTTGAAATATGAGTCCTTTGCAAGGTGCATGGAATGTTCCAACTTCAATATACTGATCAGGTCGACAATCCTTAACCTGGGAAGGAAAGGCATGGATGTATGATCTTTTGATCCATCTATCAATCCAGTATTCTAAATGTGTACCATCATTTCAGATTTGTAAAACTGTAATTGTATTCTCAAGCCTGTACATACCTTGCGCATCTATCATATGACCTCGGAACTCAAGCGTTTCTCTTTCTTGAGTCGAACACCTCGTTCTTCTAAGCGTGTAAGTACCGCATCAAGATTCTTCATGTGCTCTTTCTGCATTCATCCCATGATTAGTATATCATCAAGATATATTTAGACGCCTGGTTAG